TGCTGCCCTTCTACTGTATCAAGATTTGTGTCTTCCTCTATGGCAGTGGTTCTCAACTTTCCTAATGCTACGACCCTTTCATACATTTCCTGATGTAGTGGTAACCCTCCAGCATAAAATTAATTTCATTGATATTTCATAGCTGTTATTTTGCTACTGTTGTAAATCGGGTCAAACCTGTGAGCAAGTCATAGACCCCCACACCCAATGTGGTCACAACCCATGGATTGAGAACCGCTGCTCTAAACTAAGAGGAGATTCTCTTAAGATAAAAAATCAGCATGTTGTCAGATGCGCAAATCCTGTTGTTATTGTTGTTATGTGCCATTGAGTGGGTTTTGTCTTATAGCACTTGTATGCACAATATAAGGAAATGCTGCCCCGTCTTATGTAATCTTCAGAGTGGTTCTTTGATTGCTCTCATTTTTGCAGCCACTGTGCTAATCTATCTCTTTGGGGGCTACCTCTCATTTGCTTCCCTTTTACTCTACCAAGTTTTCTGCCTCCCTCTAGGGCAGTGGTCCTCAACCTTCATAATGCCACGATACTTTCATACCATTCCTCATATGGTGGTGAGCCCCCCAATCATAAAATTATTTTCATTGCTACTTTATAACTCTGATTTTGCTACGGTTATGGATTGGGCCACCACTGAGATGGGAATTTTGTCCCTCCAAATGAGTCGCGACCCACAGGTTGAGAACCGGTTCTCTAAACTAAGAAGAGTTTCCCTTAAGATCTACTTCATACTTTTAGAAGCACTTGTCTTGTAGTTATTGTTTTTAGGTTCCGCCGAATGGATTTCGCTCATAGAAACTCTATGCACAATATAATGAAATGCGGCCGCATCTTGAGCCATCCTCACAGTGGTTCTTTGTGCTCATTGTTGCAGCCACTGTGCTAATTCATGTTTTGGGGGGCTGCCTCTCTTTTGCTGCCTTTCAACTCTACCAAGGTTTCTGTCTTCCTCTAAGCCAGTGGTTCTCAACTTTGCTAATAGCACGACCTCTTCATACCGATCCTCATGTAGTGGTGACAGCCCAATCATTAAATTATTTTTGTTGTCCTTCATAACTGAAAATTTGCTAGTGTTATGAATGGGGCACCACTGTGAAAGGCTGTTTAATTCCCCCAAAGGTGTCGCGAACCATAAGTTGAGAACCGCTGCTCTAAACTAATAGGAGTTTCTCTTAAGGTCTACTTCAGCCCATTGTTAGAAGCACAAGTTCTGTTGTTTTTGTTGTTAGGTGCTGTCTAGTGGGTTTTGATACATAGCACCTCTACGTACAATATAATAAATCGCTGCGCTGTCTTGTGCCATCCTCACAGTGGTTCTTTGACTTGCGCTCATTGATGCAGCCACTGTGCTATTTTATCTTGTTTGGAGATGACTCTATTTTGCTGCCCTTTTACTGTATCAAGATTTGTGTCTTCTTGTAGGGCAGTGGTTCTCAATATTCTTAGTGCTTCGGCCCTTTCATACAGTTCCTCCTCTCAAGATTTGTGTCTTCTTGTAGGGCAGTGGTTCTCAATATTCTTAGTGCTTCGGCCCTTTCACACAGTTCCTCTTCTAGAGGTAACCCGCAAGCATAACATTATTTTCATTGATATTTCATAGCTGTAATTTTGCTGCTGTTATGAATCAGGTCAAACCTGTGAGAAGGTCGCTAAACCCCCCAATGTGGTCACGACCCACATGTTGAGAACTACTGCTCTGTACTAAGAGGAGATTCTCTTAAGATATAGGTCAGTCAATGGGTGCACAAGAAGATGTGGTGAAGAAAGCGGATGATGCTTGTCAACCAAAAGATATAACACCGGAATTCACTGAAGACATTGGGTGCACAAACAAGTGTGGTTAAGAAAGGTGATGGTGCTCAGCTACCAAAAGATATGTCACCTGAAACCTTAAAGACCTGAAGATAAACAAGCACTATCTAGCTGAGAGACAACAAAACCCACATGGAAGAAGCACACTGGCCTACCCCTACTCAATCACTGAGTACAAAGGGGGTGCATTAGCAAAAGTGGTGAAGAAAGCAGATGATGCCCGACTATCAAATGATACAGCATCTGGGGTCTTACAGGCTTGAAGACAAACAGATGGCCATCTAGCTAAGAAACAACAAAACCCACAAGTAAGAAGCACACCAGCCTACCCCGACA